CATAGCAGTTTGAGTCTGGGAGCGGACCATGCTTCAGGCTGTGAATGTTTGTGGGCACCGCACCTCCCTCAGGGCTACCAGGGAGCATGAGGGAATTGTCTTATCAAATGGCATCTGGATTTTATTCCATTTTACACAAATCCTCATTGTTCATGCGTGAACCTAACTTGGGAAATGGAGAGTGGGACTTGGGCTATTCAGCAAACAGACAATTCCCTTTGGGTTTTCTAAACTCTGTCAAGCTAAGCACTATGAGTTCTTGTTCCTTGCTTTTCAGCTATCCCCGGGGGGAGAGCTGAGAGCTATCAGAGATACTAATCAGGAGGAACTGGGGGAAGCACAGTATTTGTCTGATATCTTTCCAGAATCAGACAGAGGTCTTCACAGGGTCCCCAAATCCCTGCAATCAGTTGCAGGTGGGGTAGGGACAGAGGGTTCCTCTTCTTCCCAGCTCAGGTGTACTTGAGTTGGTATAATGTTTATGATGCCCAGAATGTAAAATATGAAACTAGATGCACACTTCTGAAGACAGACTGAGGAAACTATATCATAAAAGAAGTTAGGCAACTCAACCCCACTAAACAAATTACATCCATTTCATGAGGAGGACAAGGTACTGCTTTTGAGAAACAGACCAAACAGCCAGGCCCAAAGATCCTGAGGCCACACAGTGCTTCTGCTCCTGCAGGAGCGGGGCTCAGCCAGGTGGGTTTTCAGGCTCCTCCTAGCTGCATAGATAAATGGCCAAAGGAAACCTTATCCAGGCAGTTTCAGAAATCTTATCCAAGCAGTTTCACACCAAAGGCTAAACGGCAGGCTGATCTTCCTTTCAATCTGGCCAATAAACAAGTGACAATCAGGTGACACAGCTAGGAAGAGGGCCTCATGGGGCTCCAGCGGGGATTTTCCCCTGCTCTTGCTCCCTGCTGGTCTCCACTGGTGAGCAGTGGTTATAGAAGACATTCAGAGTGGTACAGCCTGCTGGAGCCTGCACATCTTACAATCACCCTACAGAATGTCTGAACAATGCTGGAATAAATAGGGCCAAACCTGGGGGAAAGTCAGACTTGCATACACACCCAGACCCTTGCTGGTTTGAGATATTCAGGAGATCTGGCCTACAAGTGAAGAAGCCCTCCTCCAGGGTTTCTCACAGAAAACCACCCAGGAGTGCCAGAGTCTCTTTGACGGCCTCAAAGCTGGGAGAAAGGTGAAGAATTTTGTTGTCTTACATACTGGCCAGCAAGGCAAGAGACAGCATTTGGCTTTTATTTTTTATAGTAGCTTAGAGTTGTGTGTGTATAGCTGATGTCTCAGGCCAAGTGAAGAACAGTGTCATCTGTGGTGTGGCTTTATCTGCACACAGCTCTGTGAAGCAGGCAGAGCAAAATGGCCATTGTGATCCTAAGAGGGTAGGAGGTGGAGATTCACGGAGGTGATGTGACTTGCCCAAAGACCATCCTTATAAATGGTAGATAGGGAACTCCAGTTAGGACTTCCAATCCCCCTTCTGATCCTTTGGTGTACTGTGCTTTTCACTCTGCCACATTGATAGCTGGCACCATAAGCAAAACTGTTACTCTGGATTATCCACTGAGCAGACCGGGGAAAGGACTACATTATCCTCTGTAAGTTGAACATCTGGGAAGGAGCTACAGTGAGATAGTGAAGCCAGCCACTATTGGTTGTGAGATACTTCATGTTGTGAGATTTACGAGGGGAGTAGCCATGTCTGGCTTGCTTTGTGTCCCTGGAACCTGTGCCAGTGCCTGGTTTAACAGCTATTTGTGGAGGGAGAGAGGGGAGAGGGAGGGAGGGAGTTGGTGTGGCTTTCCTTGCACATCATTTCTCTGACCACAGCCTCCACTTCTTTCGCTGGGCTCTTGCTTCCTGGCCCTGGTCTTATCTTTTTATAAATTCCCCTTGCTGTCTCTGTATCTGGACTTCTGGAGTCATCCCTTCATGGAGTCATGCCATAGTCAAGTCACCTGAACAAAGTTCTAATCTTGTCTCAATCACCTGCTAGAGATTTCTCTCTAGTTGTCTCTTTGTCACCCCACAAGTTGCACGTCCAAAGCCTGAAGTCCAGATCTCTCCTCAAAACTTTGTCCCATCTTTCAGCTTCTCGGGCAGTGGCACTGCTGTTTCCCAACTCTCCTGAGTTTGAAAATTCATTTATCTTTTCCTTCTTTCACATTCAGTCAAGTGCTCGTGACTTCTCCATTGATCTGTTGTTTCCTCTCCATCCCTATGGGCTGAACAAGTGTAATGTCAAACTGACCTCCATCAGTCTCTCTCCTCCCACCCCTTTGGCTCCAGTCCAGTGTGCTCTGACCACTGCTGCCATTCCTCTCCAGCTTGAGCCCACCCTGACTCCTGATTTCCTACAGCTCCATGGAGCACCTCCTGCTGACCAACTGCCGGCACGCACTGCCTGCCCTTGCCAGTGCATCTCCTCATTATCAAGGGAGTATGCCAAGCTCAGCCCCACCCCAATCTAAAAGGTTGCTCCTTTTGCCAAGAATGCTTTCTTTCGTCTACCTTATTCAAATTCCTGCTGTGCACATGCTGTAATGGCACTGTTCCAAAGAACTGGTCGATTTTATCACTTCAGGCCCATCTCTTCCTCATTTTCTGCCTGATGGGTCAATGTACTGATAATAAGGTAGAGTCACAGGGAACCCGTCTTATATCTGAGTCTGACCCTGTGCCTCAAGGCTGCATTTTCCCATGCTTCATTAGTTCCTTTAAAGGACCAGATATCCTCAGACAGAGCAATGACTCCCAGTCCAGGGCAAGGCCTCTCTCTCTCTCAAAGTTGGATTTACTCTGGGGCTCAATCGTCAATTTAGTTTTTGTCTCACAAGTTTGTCTCACCAGAATTTGGATGGAGAGTCTACGGGTTGGAAGTGGGGAATGTGGCGGTCCAAAGGGTAGAAAATATGGGTCCATTTGGAGTATATAGAAGACAGCTTTCTTTTTACAGATGCTAAAGTATCTCATCAGGTTGTCAGCCTTGGACTCCATTTCACTTTAGTAAATACAAATAAAGCTACTGTCAAGTGCCATCAACAATGTGAACTCTGCTTGTGTAGCCCACATTAGGGCTTAAAAACTCCTCCATATTTCAGCTTTCATGGAGGTGTCTGAATGAAAACTATCATTTAATCCTTTCCTTGCCACACAAAACTATAAGCACAAATGGATTTTAAAGGGTCAGAAAACAAGTTTTTGTTTACAAAAAAATACCCTCCCAGAGTTATGCTTAGTGACCTTAGAGAGAACACAGCTAAAAACCCCAGCAGCCAAGGGAAGGATTCAAAGGTACCCAGTGTGACACAGACTTACAACACTGCCAGATCATCCCAAGGAGTACACAATATAAATGCTTTATTGCCAGCACAGAGGTTTCTTTTTAAGTAAATTAAAAGAAATAAATCTTCATTTCACATTATATATTGCAGTTCAAAGGTAACTAGTTGGTTAATGTGTATGTTCACTTGGACGCGCTACAGGAGAAGAGCAGGGCATTCAATGGAAGAACTCAGAAAGCCGGCATCTGTCAAGGCATTGGGCAGCTGAACGCACTTCCGTTTGTAAATAACAGCAAGGAGAGATTTCTTTAAAACATCATGAATACACGAGGATTATAAATAGAAAAGTGGTGCAGGTAGAAAGCAGAAAAACGCTCAATACAGAAGGCTATATATAGGTTGCCCATACTCCATATACTCTAGGTTATGTTTGGTACTTTTAAATAAATGATCTTCATCTAGGTTAGAGACTGGCTTGGAGGTGGTAGCTGGAAAGAGAAGGGGGATTACGGGAAAGCAGAGGAGCCAAGCTAGGAGAAGGAAGCTGGCCTGCTTCATGCCTCCCCCTCTGCAGGCTGAAGCTCACTGAGAGGCAAGAATGGTGTGTGGATGAGCCACTGGGTGTGAGAGGAGCTCTGGCAGAGCATGGCCACTGTGGCACGCTGGCATTCTACAAATAGAGAACACCCTCAGGCTTGGCCAGGTTTTCCAAGGTTGCTGCCAATGGAATTAGGGCATGTAATTTGGGCATGACAGGCCTGAGAGACACCTGCAGCAACAAGAGGTACAGGTGCTGGTGCACTGGGATCTGGGGTGCAGAAGAGGCTATGGGTTGTGATTACAGAAATAGTTCACGTGATAAGAATTCTCAGCTAGTACTGGAAATCAAATTATTTCTGCAAGGAATCCAACCTGAGCAACTTCCCAAGCCTACTTGAATTGTTTTTTGGGTTGGTTTTAAGATAAGCTTTGGAAAAGATATTACTCACCAAAAACAAACACACAAACAAAAAAAACACTCCTTATTCCAGAACAACCAATAAAAGAATTACACACACGCACACACACACACACACACAATCTATAGCAAGCTCAGAAGCCATGAACTACACATAATGACCTCTCATCTGCACTGTCCTGATCTTATTTCACATGTGTTATTTATGGACATAAAAAAAAACAAATTGGGTCAGGAAGATCCCAAGTTCTGACCATGAGAGTGTCTGAAGTGCACCAGCTCCTGGCCTTTCTAGGCTGGTCTGGCTCTTAACTAAAACCATTTCGTGTTTTGCTTTGAAGAAATGGATGACATGAAATGGTAATTTGGCTGCAAAACCTTGGAAAATTGTTCCCGGCCCAAACATCTGCCCCAAATGAGCTCAGCTGAGATCTCCTTGGAGGAGAGGGAGGGGTGGAAGAGCAGGGAGAACTGGAAGGAAGAAAATGAAGCTGGCACAAAGGCCACCTCTCTGGAGAGGGAAGTTCTTTGTGACAGCATCATGTTCTTTGAGACAGTAAGCAGCTTCCCTATTCTATTGGATGTGTCCCACAGCTTGTCCCCTTACCTCTATCCCGCCTTCCCCCATGCTTGCCTTCCCCCATGCTTGGTATCATTAAGGTGATCCCTTGCAGAATGCCTAGAAACCTGCCCAGCTGCTTTGTTTCAGTGGTGCAGTGACCTGCCTGCTACATATCATCATCTCAACCTTTAAAGAAGGACCTTGGCTCGATTCTATTCCTGACAGCTGGGCCCTACAGAGAAAGCAGAGGGAGAGTGGTGTAGGCCGGCCATTGCCTTTCTTCTTGGCCTTCTTAGGAGTTCTTCTGGGGGATCTTTACGGTCACAGTCTTAACTTCTGAGTACTCGCGCAAGCCAAATTCTCCCCTGAAACACAGAAATAAGCAGAATCAGATGCCAGAACCCAGGCAGTCATGGCAGGGTGGTGATAGTAGTTCTAGAAAAGATTCAGTTTGTCACTTGTGAACACCTAGAGATTTCAAATAAAAATTCCTAATGGATGGGACATCCAGGCCTTCCTCTGAGGAGCAGAGAGAGCCCTCATCTCACATGCAATCATCATTTCTCAAAAGATAATTTGCCTCCATAATACTACACAGAAAGGCAATGACTCCAGCTACTCAGAGAGCCAGACCCAGGGTTAGCTGTTGCCAGAGGGCATGCTCCTTCCTGGCTGAGCACCAGGGGCAGTGGCAGAACCAGGTCCCTAGTCTTCCAATGTCTTCGTCCTGTTCCTCCCTCAGGCAGCAGTGGTTCCTCAGGATGTGGTGTGCTGTTCTTCCCCAAAGCCCTGCTCCTGCCTCTGCATACTCCTGGATGTTTGGATGCTGTGCCTAGAGAGCTAGTCATTGCAACTGAAAGAAAAGGCTGAGATTCTCAGAGGAGGATCCTCTCTGCTATTCTAAATTCCTTTTCATTATTCCTTAGATTCAATAAACAGGGATGAAGACCTAAGAGCCCACCATGGAAATGCAGAAATCATTTGCAATATCTTAAAAAAAATCAGTAAGTACTGTCCGTAGCCTCACGGAATCCGAGGAAGGATTCAGGGAATAAAAAAAAACAAACAAACAATTAAAAAGACATTGGGAACCATTAGTAAGCTTCCTCTTTAAGATTTTTTTTTTTTTTTGCCCTCTTCCTCTGTGGGATCTGGGTCAGAATCAAAGATTGCCAATCATTTTTCATTTACTGAGATATTACTATAGGTAGCCCTGTGCTGGGCTCAGGACAAGCCAAACTAAATAACTAGTCCCAGCCTCTGAAGAACTTGCAGGTGATTGGGAGTAAGGACAAGATATAGTATGGTCACTCTCTAAGCGGAGACAGGGGACGCAGCCATTCCCAGTCCCCTGCACACTTGCCAGAAACCAGAGGGCAGGCATTTGGTGAAGCCTGCTTGCTGTAATGCTCCTTTTCTTCCACCTTGCCGTTTCCCCTCATTTTCACTTCATCTTAGTTGCCTTTTAAGAATTTTATTATAAAATCGACGTTTTAAATTTTTCTTTAAAATACAGGAAGTTTTTTCTTCTCCTCTTTTTGAAGTCCTTCTTAGTGAGGTTTCTCCTGACAGCCCAGGGAAAGGCACTCCCCTCCTCTTCTGTTCCTCAGAGCGCTTTGCCATATCTCCACCATGATGTCACCACACTAGGGGAGCTTTGGGAGCACCTCTGTGTCCCCCTGAGCCAGAGCTCACTAACTTGCTTTCTGCCCCCACCATACATCATGGTCAGCCTACAGTGCCTGGCAGGGAGAAGGCACTCAATGTCTGTGAAAGGGAGAAAGTAAGTGGGGAGGTCTCATCCTATCGCCCTTTTTCCCAGTTCTGCCTTCTGGACATATGGTCTCCACCAGGAGAAAATAAAAGAACACTCAGACGTGTTTGAGTATGAAAGGATTAAGAAAAGCTCTCTTTCAAAATGGTCAGTTATTGCAACTGGGTTTTACAAGCGAGATTGGCAGTAAATAGTTCCTCCTGGTTCCTTTCAGGATCTGATAGCCTTATACAGGGTCCAATCACTGCTGCTGATTCCTCTGAACCCTGAGGGCACCTGAGTTTACAAGGCCCCCACCCTGGGACATCAGAGAGCAGTCCAGGAGAGCCTGGTAAGCATCCTGTTCTCTAGCCTCGCCTACAGGGTCATTCCATTTAGAGGAATGAGGCAAGCAAACTGGGACTGCCCTACTCATTACAAGGTTCCCTCATTAACTCCATGCAGGCCTTGGGTCTCTATGTTACCAGCTCAGCTTTGGCTCTCTCTGTAGTTTTCCCTGCCTTTAGGCAATTCTGAATTGTCTCTTCATCAAGGACATCATGTGTCTCCTGTTTGAAGTGAGGTTACTCCCTTCTCATTTCCTGGCTTGTGCATGCACGCACTTGGGGCAGACCCTGAACCACTCTTTCCTCCCACTTAGATCTCTAACTAGGCTGTGACAAATGTAAGGAAGTCTATGAAGTCAGAAACTCACAGTTGCTTTTGCACATGAATGTTGGATCCCACAGTGTTTGGGTGCATGAAGCAGTGGAAACCCTGCTAGTCTGGGAGTGTTTTTTCCTGGTTCCTGGGCAGGGATGGATTTCAACCCACTCCAAGAACAACAGATCTGTTGTCAAAAGAAGGACTTCCCAGGAGCTCAGGGCACCAAGGGAGCCATCATAGAGCAGACAATGGAGGCCTCATAGCGCAAAGAACCCTCCCTGCAGCTGGAGTCAGTGGATAGAAATACTAATGCCTCTGCCATTAACTGGCGGAAGGACCCAATCAAGTCACCCCATTTTCTTGGTGCCCAGGCATCTTCCTGAAAGTCAGCATGTATAAGCAGCACCTGAGAAGCTTGTTGAAACTGTAGGTTCTTGACCTTCTGGGCACCAAAAATTCTGTTTCCAGTAGGTCTGGAGGGGGACCCAGGTGGTCATTTGACCCACACTTTGGGAAGCACTCACAAAGTCCTGAAGTTTGGATTCTTCCATTGTTTCACCATCTCTAGAATCTCTTTGCTGCACTTAAATTCCCTGGCACAAACAGTTCCATAGCTCAAAAGGAAGATCCTCACGGCTGCTCAAGACAGGCATTTCACTGCTAAAGAGCCTTAATCTCTGTGAGGTCACTTTAACAGCTGTACAGCACAGGGCACACAAACATCTAGAAGCCCACTTGCCTGCTTCTTAACAGACTAGGTTACAGTCCCTAAGATAACCAAATGTGGCATACCCAGTGGTGAGAAAAAAATGTCAGATTTTGGTGGCTCTCAGCAAGCCATTTTAGGAATCACTCAAATTCACCCATAATACAAGTAAGAATTTGCTTGGGATATATATATATATACATACATATATATAGATATAGATAGATATAGATATATATAGATATATATAGATATAGATAGATAGATAGAGATATAGATAGATAGATAGAGATAGATAGATAGATAGATATCCCTGCACTTTTATTTGGCTTGCAGCAGCATTTTTCAAAATGAGGTCCCAGACTACCTGCATCAGAATCATTCCAGAAACTTGTTAAAAATGCAGATCCCAGGCTCCAGCCCAGACCTACTGAATCAGGATCTCTGAGACTAGCTTCCAGATAAGGATGCTTAACAACCTCACCAGATTGCAGGTGACTTCTGGTGTGCATGTACACACACACACACGCGCGCGCACAATTTGATCAAGTTTCCCTATCATGCTTTTCATTTTCAAAGCCTGCGTTTATAGTTACTAAAATGCTAAGGTTCATAGCTTTCTTTCAGTTTGTGACACATACTTTATAGCTTATGTTTTACCATCTTTCAGGGGGAGCTTAAATGAGAAAGGAAAAAAAAAGGATGGGAAGGGAGAAACAGACAAAATTAGTTGGGCAGGCTGAACCAAGAGAAACATAGCTCAAGTCTCTGACGCCCGAGAAGAAAAGGCCAGCCCATCAGACAACCTGCAGAGGGCAGCCCTCCCCACAGCTCTCTGTGGGAGAACTCAGTGCTCTTCAGCCCTCCCTGAAGCTTGTTTCTAGCAGTGTCACTTCCCTTCCCAGCTCCTCTTGGGGGTGGGTATGGAGTCTATAGGTCATGAACAAAACAATTCTTCCAGATGGAAGGCTCAGTGGAATTTCTGGGGATGTATCAAATGAGATGTAAAGGTGCAGGTTCTTTTAATTGAAGTATTTCCTACCACTCTAGATCATTTAAGAAAGAGAGAATGCATTTGGGGGTAAGTAGAGACAAAGAACTAGGCCATTTATATAAGATGAAATGGGTCTCATCAAACAGCATCTTTTCTTATTTTTTCTCACTGCTGTGGGAAGGACACATCACTCCCATACCTAAAAGACAAGTAGAGAGAAGCTGCTCTTCTACTTCTTGGGCTACTGTTACATGTTCTGACACAGCCAAACAATCTTTTAGCAATGGGACATTTCCGATGGGAATATGCTGGACTAGGATAATGTCACAAGCCTGGATTCTGGCAGGAGGCTTGCTCATGATGAAGGACAAGAGTTAGCCTGGGAGGCTCCATCAGCCAGCAACCATTTTTTACAAGTATATTTTATGCCAGTGATTCACCCTGTTAATGATCTGTAACAAAACAGTCAGTGCAAGCAGCATTCCCAGAGCCAGTGACGGACCCAACGTTTCAGAGACTGGATGAAGACAGCTACAGAGGCAGGAAATGAAATAACAAGCAGAATACACTTTGAAGCATAAAAGTGGAAAGTTAAGGCCACATGAGAGTGAAGAAGAGATACCTAGAGTATATAAGCTGAAGGAGTACTAGTGTGAACAGGATCTAGATCATTAATGGTTCTGGCTGGAAAGTCAGTGTGGGAACACTGAAGCCAGAAGCAAAGGATTCAAGGAGGACAGTTCCCCCTGGCCCTACGAGAGACAGGTGGAATTTCCTGGGATTTAGGAAAACTTTTGCCGCACTTCCAAAGCAACAGATTTGTAAAGAAAAAGAAGGAGCACCTACCTTTCATCTGCTTGAGCACTAATGGCAGCAGCTGACACCTTCTAAAGGCTTGCCAGACATTGATGGTGTCCAGCGTACTTAATGCCAACACTTAACCCTCATGACAAACCTCAAAGCAGTGAGTCTAATCCTTATAGATGAGGACACTGGGGCTTGAGGAGATTAAGTAATTTGTGCAAGGTTGCATAGGTGGTAAGCAGTAGAGCCAGGATTCATATCTGAACAGTGTGTGATTCTTGAACTGCTCTTGGCCTCAAAGGTATCTCTACTTAAAAGTATAATCATTAGCTGCTAGAAGTATCAGCTCAAGTATCTGTAAACCTCTGTTCTAGTCTAAAGGGTTCAGTGCACAATTTTCAAGTGTCACACTTAACTTTTCATAAAGTCTTTTACTCTTCCTCCACTGCTAACTTTGCTTTACTGTCCAAGTTTTTTGTTTTTCCTTCTCTCTCTCTCGGTACTGAAGACAGAACCAGGGGTGCTTTACTACTAAGCTACATCCCCAGTCATTTTCATTTTGAGACAGGATCTTGCTAAGTTGATGAGAGTCCTGCTAAGTTGCTCAGACTGATCTCAAACTTCCCATCCTCCTGCCTCAGCCTCTCCAGTTACTGGGGTGCACCACTATGGCTAACTACCTTCCAACCTTGAAAACATATTCCTCTCTCTCCATCAACTCAAGTGTTCCTCTCCTTGAAAGGCAACTCAAATATCTATAATAAAGATCATATCTAAATGCGTCTGCACTGAAATCCTCCTGGAGTCTAGTTTACTTCTGCTACAGTGCTATTTTTCGGGGCATTAGCATCTCAGAAGGATTGTCAGGCTCTTATCCTATCCCTAAAAAGTCCCTGTGTCTGGCCCCCATGCTTCCTTGGCTGGATCCACAGGAGTTATGGGCATTCAGAGTCACTGAGACCTAGGCTGGAATATCAGATATGCCACTTACTATGTGACTTGGTCAAGCTACTTAACTACTCTCCCTCTTACTTAGCTCCTCCATAATATAAAAGTTGGATGAGACAATGTTAGAAAAGAAGTCAGCATCAAGCCAGATAAACAGCAGGCATTGAATTAATAACATCTGCTTTGGTGAATGTCCGTCTGTCACCCGAGAGTTTATATGTTGGAACCTGATAAACCATGTGAGAGTCTTAAGAAGTGGGGACCTTTTGGAAGTGATTAAATCATGAGGGCTCCCTCAAGAATAGGAGTATGGAGTATCTGAATGAGCTCCCTTGCCCATTCAGCCACACTTTGCCTCTAGAACCTTGAGCAATACATTTCTAATGCTTATATATAATATAGTCTAAGGCATTTAGTTTTAGCCGCTTGAATGAACTAAAGACACCTATTATTGTTACAATAAAATCCTTCGAACTGGTCTTCTTCTCTAGTGTCTGCCAAGACACCACACCCTGTATACTCCAGGTATCTTGGCCCTAAAATCTCTGGTAGCTTCTGGTTACCATGGAATTTCCTTTGAGATGTGATTTAAACTAACCTTTCCACTTATACCTTCAGCAGGTCCCCCCTGTTGATCCTATGCCCTAACCCTGCAATCCCAAACTCAAAGAACTTATCAGGACTGAGAAAGTGATATAAGTGAAGGGACTGGGAAGGGGCAACAGGAATGGTGGCCAACATTCACCCCAGGAAGCAAGAGGAATGGTGGGAACATGGGAAGCTGCAGAGCTCACAGCTCTGGTGATTCTTTTGTGGGGGAACTGAAACAAGAAAGAAATCTACATTTCATGTGAAGCCTTCTCATGTTGGAGTGTTAGTTGAAGATTTTAAAACACCGTGAAAGCAAAACATACATTTTTCTGGGCCAGATTTGACCCTTGGCCTGCCAGTTGGTGAAAGCTTATTGGTGAAATGTTATTTCCTCTGTGATGTCTTCTCTGACTCCACTAGACAAGACTGATTTTTGCTCCATATTTACACGATGTCTGACATACTTCTATAATAGCCCTTATTAAATAGAATTACTGGTATATTAATTTTTCTTTGTCCCCACTTAGCATAAGGGAGTTGTGTCTTACTCACTCTTGTACCATGTAATACTTAGCTTATAGTAGTTTGTGCTCAACAAAGTGTTAGCTTAGTGAACAGAGGAGTGTCAGAAAATTCAACTATTTTTTGAGTGCTGTTCTAGGCCAACATTCAAAACCCCTGCGTCTCTGCAGGCATCAGCAAATGTGACACTTACATTTCTCTCCCATTTCCAGACATTTTGAACCCTCCAAAAGGGCTCTGGGCATTTAAGGCATTGTAACAGTTGATCCTGAAAGAAGAAAACATAGTACTGTTAGTATGAATTTTACCTGCAAAGAAATAATCCTATTAGCATGACACTTCTTTCAAAAGTTTTACTTTTTGTTTCTATTCTCCAGACAAAAACTTCATTTATAGTTTAAAATTTACTTTGATTTTCTTATCTTGACAGTAAGAAGTGTATCCCCTCTCAGGCTAAAGTTCGGATGTCCTTGGTATTCTCCATCTGTTTTACCCAGCCTCCTGGTAGTATAAGGCCCTGCTCTAACCTGAATGTAGTTTCCCCTAAGGGTTCAAGTGTCGAAAGCCTGGTCCCCAGGGTGGCCATTTTGGAAGACAGTGTGGAACCTTAAAGAAGTGCAGCCTAGTGGGAAGTCCTTGGGTCACTGTGGAGCTACCTCAGAAGGGTTTAAGGTAGTAGTTCTGTGCTCCCCCAGAGCTCTTACAAGTGTACAGCCCTTAGGTTGTTCTAAGATAGGGCCAAACACCTGAATTTTTCTCTCTTGTTTCCTGTCTGGCAATGTAATCTCTTCCTCCCACATGAGCTTCATCTGCCATGTGACATAATCAAGTGTCCCTTCCATGCCATTTTAACTTTCAGCCTCAAGAACTGAGCTAAAGAACTTTTTTTAAAAATAAAGTTAGCCTGTCTCAGGTTACTCATTATAGAAAAATGAAGTAACACAGGCCTCTATATCACCAGTGGAGTTTGTTAGAGCCAGTACAATGAGATTGTTTCTGATCTTACCAAACAGTCCCAGCTTGCATTGCAGAAGACACTGTGAGGGCCTTGTTGATGTCATTAGTGAAGACAGCAGCTACAAGTCCAAAGTCCGAGTTATTGGCTCTTTCAATAACTTCATCCATAGTTTTAAACCTCAGAATTTCCTGCACAGGGCCAAAGATCTATAACAAAATAGTTTGACTCAATGAGGCTGCCATTCATTTACCTGTTTTCCCCATTTTAAAGCAAGTTTACTCTGCTTCTATTTTTTAAATGACTTTAGTTTAGCCCCATGAAACTGTACACTATCCCAAACTTCCCCAGAATAAGATTCTAACCTCAGACTTTCATATCCCCTCTCCCAACCTCCTTGCATCACTCAATTCCACTCTTATGTTCTTGGGGTGTGTTCCTGAGATGCAGAAGAGAAAGTGACATTCTCCCTGATCCCCCAAACAGTGTCTGGAGAACACTCCTCCAGAACTGAGAACTACTGCTCTGCACTACTAGCTGACCTGGACCAGGTCTCTCACCTCATAGACATGGGGATACTTGGAAGTTTTCTTTGCTAGTTAACAGCCTAGTCCCTCATCCTCAGGGGAACTGAACTTCTTCCAGTGTATTACTGAGGTGAGAGACAGGCTATTATAATTATTTTGCTGGCTGATAACAGTTACACTCACATAGCACATCACCTGGCCTCCATGTTGCTTGCCTGCCTTTTGGTTTAACTTTTTCCTTGAAAGTGGGATTTTCATAGCCATGTTTATTGCCATTGTGAAATGTCCAAGTATAAAATACAAAGGACTAAAATTCTAAAACTGTCTACCAGAAATGCCCTAGAAACCATCCCAAGAAAGAGATGTGGCTTTTGTAAGTACTCTATACCTCCTCCTTGGCAATCCGCATGTCATCAGTGACGTTAGAAAACACCGTTGGCTCAATAAAAAACCCCTTTCGGCCCAGTCCTTTGCCTCCACATTCCAGTTTGGCGCCCTCAGCCACACCACTCTGGATGAGTTCCAGGATCTTGTTGTATTGTTTCTTATCAATCTACAGGAAAAATCACCTCATGACTCAGTAAATCCTTCTATGAAAATGGAAACAAGCATGTTTTTAAGAGCCTCTCATTTATGATTTTTGTTTTCAAAATTTCATCATATCTAATCAAATCATATGAAAGTGGTATTATTTACCAACTTTTGACAAACAACAGAGTTGGTATGGTTCAATCCAATATATGGAGGATTGCAATAAGGCACTGCCCTGATGATTTGGCCTAATCTGAAGTACCAGGTGATGATTTAGTAAATGGTTCAAAACAACAGAGACACTGGATAATTATTACTCATTATTTATATAAGGAAAGATCAACTTCTATCACCAAATGAATGATTAAGCAAGTTGAATTGATACTAAAATGACAAAAAAAAAACCCTGAAACAAATAGATAAGTTAATACACAGCCTCTTTTGATATTGCCACATAACCAAATTCTAGTGGGGTTTATTTTTAAAGGAATTCCTATTGTGCCTTTAGAGGAGAGGATTAAAATTAAAGAGTTTGGACAAACTTCTTAGTCCAGAAAAATGGTCAGTTTTACCCCCCCACCAACACTGATAGTTATCATTCAGTTATTATGGTAAATAATATAAAAACCTATATTCATCTGAGTTTGAACTGCTCAGCTATAACATCAACTTTCTCCAGTGGTCACCAAATTGAGATGACATTGTCCTTAACCAGGAAAAGTCATGCTCTGGTGGCCCAGATGAGAACTGGTTCAGATACCCTTCTACAAATTCTCAGACCCTGTATACAGATTAAAATCACAGTTCCATTTCCAAATAGATCATGATGATTATAGTTAGCCTGTTCAGGAGGGACATTCATGGTCTTCCCCACACTACCACAATGTGTGATGCAATCAGAGTAAGAGATAACCCAACAGTCAGGAGGAAAGTAAGCCAGTCCTTCATTCCTACACATTTGCAAGCTTCAAGTGATCTCTGCAGACTAGCACAGGGTGAAGGAGAGAATCCTTGGCATCTGGTAAAGGATAAATGGCTCTGGGAAGGAGAGTCACCCTCCTTGAGTGTGGCATCTGTAGGATGTCATGAAGCATAGCAGTTACGAGGACTGCGACTCAGTTCTAGGGTCAAGATTCACCTTGTCATGCTTAGGAATTTCTTTAAAGCTGAGAGACTCCAAATCAACCCCACAGTTCAAAACATCCTTAAGGCAACACTAATCTCATAGTTTTTCAGAGATAAAATTTAGGCAGGAAAGGAGAAGCATAATAAATAATCTCTCAATGGCTACACTTCCAGCCATGAAGACAAGGTGGAAGAGTAAAAAGGCAGCAGGAAGATGAAGATGTTGCCTTGGCGGATCCCACCCTGTCCACTGTTGTGGTGCTAGCCAGAGATTAAGTAAACAAGGAAACGTTTATGATTTCTCTACCTGAGGACCCTGCTCAGTGGTGGGGTCAAAGGGACTCCCCACTATGCGCCTCTTGGCCCGCTCCACACTTCTTCTCACAAATTCTTCATAGATGGACTCCTCCACAAAGATTCGAGATCCTGCAGTACAGCACTGGCCTTGATTGAAGAATACACCTTGGTGAGCCTGCTCCACAGCATAGTCCACTGCAAGAAAAACAGCTGTTTTCAACACCACTTTGCCTACAGAGGGGCCTGTTCATGGAGATACCTCCCTCTCCTCTCCAAGGTCTCAGGTATAGCATCCTGATCACCATGGAGCATAACAGTGATAGCTCTGGACTGAGAAGTCAACTTAGTTCTAGTTCTCACTAAACCCTGACATTACTTGCTCTGTGAACTTGGGCAAATTCACTTCTCTGAGTCTCTTTCTTGTTAAAACAAAGACTGGACCACATCATTTATAACAACAGTCTTGATCCCACTATGCAAAGAGGTTAGGCAGATAATGTAAAGGTGTGAATCTGCCAGGTGGTCAAGCACTGTAATGAAAAGACTAAAGGAAGCCAGTGTGGCTGGATGTTGTTATGTATGAATATAAGCCAAAAAATAAACAAGAAATCAATATTTTAATATTCAGTTTTTGTTTTCTAAGCATGGAAATTTGTATATTCTGTATATTTGTATGTTCTGCATTTGGCTTATGGAATGCCAATTCACAACCCATAATCTACAAGGTCTTGTATATCTAATTAGCATTTTGATGATTAATCTGTAACAGCAATGGATCTTCCAAAGACACTAAGTTTCATCTATGTCAACACTGAATTATAGAATAGCATGTAGTTCATTCATTCCATCTCATACTTAAGATGTCAAGATAGTGTTGATAAATATGGTGTGTGCAAGTTGCTAAATGACTGACTGAAAACAACTGATGGCATGACAGTGGAATGCCTACAGTCCCAAAAGGAATAGGTATAAGAATTCTGATCTTGATAAATAGTGACTAAAGCTGAACTCCACAAATTTCAAGCCGGGGCTACACTTCAAACAACCTGCTTCACTTTCTGACCTTTTCAGTGGTAGAATTGGGAAGCTGTTCTGTCTTGAGGATGTGAAGAAGAAAAAAATGACTGAATGAAATTATGCACTTTTATTCCCTGGAGAGCTTTTCAAAATAGAGAGACTACACCTGTACGGAATGGACTAGATGGCCTTCTTCCTAGAAATACAGGCTTCCTAGGTTACTGCTTGAAGCCTCTATAAATTCCTCCAAACAAAGTCTATTCACTGAATTCACCTGAGTGTGCTGTCACCACTAGCTGAAAATCCTGGGAGCAGCAGAAAGGTATTGGGATGACTGATCAGAGAAGGCATGGAAAACACTGGTAGAGGCAGTGAAGAATTTCTTTTTGAGGTGCTGGCGATCAAACTCAGGGCCTCACACAAACTAAGCAAGTATGCTACCCCTGAGCTACAGTCCCAGCCCTAGGATTTATTTTTAATCACCTTCCAGCCATAAGGCTCAGTTGAGAAGTTTCAGAATACTTGAATCTAGACAGACAGACCTGTACTTCGGGTGTTTAGAGACTCAGAATATTGCTTCTTCCACCATATTCTGCTAATCAGGCCCTCAACTCTTCTACTCTATTCTATAATGTCACAGAATCAAAACAGCTAAGAAAATGAACTCTGCTCAGCACTCAGTTGTTAAGAACTCTTCCCCAATATTAAGCTATTTTTCTCCCCAGGATATCTTGATTACCCTTAGCTTCAAAGATCTTTTTTTCTGTGTCATAGCAAGAGTGGAAATACAAAAGAGCCCCAAAGGGTGATGTGCTGGAACATGTCTGAGATCTGTGGTTGACTTACAATCGGCATCTGCAAAGATAATATTGGGACTTTTCCCTCCAAGTTCCAGAGTTACTCTCTTCAAATTACTTCTTCCAGCTGCTTCTTGAATAAGCTTTCCAACCTGAAATAAAAGAAACACAGAGGGATTTTTGCACACCTTGCTCTTGAGGCAGTCAGCTCTGGCCAAAGCCAGCTCGGGCAACAAAAGAAATGTGGCAGTAGCCAATGCTAAAAGGCAAAAGAATCCACTGAAAGACACAAGGACAGCTTCTATGGTCAATTTGGGTGGATAAGATATGAAAGGCAGTTTCGATACAGTTGAACGTCCATGCTGAAGTTTACTGGAGGGCTGCTTCAGTTTCATGATGGAAGACACAAGGCAAAGGGAGTTAAACCTGGAATCTTAATCACTGAAAGATTTCTCTAAAGATAAATGGCATGCAAAATGAGACTAGAGATTTCCATCACTGCATTGTGGCCTTTAGCTTGAGACTATGGCTGCCAGAAAAAAAAGCCAACTGGCTCCACTTGAAAGACATAATAAAGATAAAATTGTGTGTGTATCTCTAAAAATGCCAGGTATGCTTTATCCCATGGTCCAAAGACACTATTGATATTACACCTTTGTCTCTACTTAGGGCTATGGTAAAGGGTTTCCATATAGTGGGAGAGAATCTGTCTCTACTTGTGCAATACTGTAGTGCCTATTTATCTAGAATCCAAGTAAACAAGAGGCTGAGTTTGGAGAATGCATTTGCCATTGACTCACATTTATGATGAAATATAAAGTTTCAAATTGGAAATAGGGATGTACCATCCATAACCCTGCTCAAAGAAGAATGCACTACCTCAGTGGCAGGCAGTGCTGTCAGGAGTCAGCCAGCAGCTGCTAACTCCATTAGGGTCTGCCTCAGCTGAACAGAGCTCCCTGTTTAAGGGGATGCCACCCCGGCGTGGCTCACATCCACTCACTAATAGTGGCAGGCCTTGCCCATTTAGCCCATCATATGACTCCTCTGAGGGAACTCATGTGTTCCACCATGTTCCAGATGTCTGGTCAAGGTTATCTCAGACCTGTACTATAGTTCAACTTCCCTTGTATCCAATCCCCTTCACCAGAGATCCCTAGTAAATATCCTGCATCCCAAACTCCACATCAGTAACTACTCTGGGAGAACCAGCCTATAACAGGGTGCTACTCTACTGGACAACAGAGGTACTTTATGGAAAATGCTGAGCCAACCATACAGACAATTTGGTCTTATTGAGATAAAAAAAAAATGCTACTTGTGCCTGGAGATCTACTGAAAATTAAATATTTAAAAAGCTTGAAGAAGAGAAATGCCACATTCATGTTTGGCTCACCCAGCCTCTTGCTGAGATTCAGGAGGCCTAACATGTCTTCAGGCAGTGGAGGGTTATGGTAAGGACAAAAGGCTCTAGAGCCTGACTGCCTGGGATTGTTATTGGCTCACCCCTTACCAACCGTTTGGCCTTGGGAAATTATTTAACTTTTTTAAGCCTTGGTTTCCTTCTCTGTAAATGGGGACTACTCATACACTGCTGGTGGGACTGCAAACTGGTACATTCACTCTGGAAAGCAGTATGGAGATTCCTCAAAAAATAGGAATGAAACCATCATTTAACTCAACTATCCCACTCCTTGGTATATATCCAAAGGATTTAAAATCAGCATACTACACTGACATAGTCACATCAATGTTTATGGCAGCTCAATTCACATCAGCTAAGCCATGGAACCATCCTAGATGCCCTTCAACAGATGAATGGATAAAGAAAATGTGGTATATATACACAATGGAGTATTACTCAGTCATAAAAGAGAATGAAATTATGGCACTTGCAAGTAAATAGGTGGATCTGGAGACTACTGTGCTAAGTGAAATAAGCCAGTCCCCAAAAGCCAAATGTACAATGTTTTTGCTGTATGTGGAAGCTAACCCACAATAAGGGAAGAGAGAGGAAGGATAGATATTCAATAGATTAGACAAAGTGGAATGAAGGAAAGGAAAGGCGGGTAGGACTGTAGAATGAACCTGAAATAATTTTCCTATGTACTTATATGAATATATCACAGTGAATCCCACCACCACCGTGTACATCCACAAGAATGGGGTCCTAATTAGAACAAGGTATATTTCGTGCTTGAATAATTATATAAAAATTAATTCTTCTGTCATGTATAACTAAAAAGAATCATTAAAAATTTACAAAAACAATAGTGTGTACATCAAATTTAGAGATGTTCTGAGGATTCAGTGATTTAACAAAGATGGCCTTTAGAACCCATCCTGGCACACAGTAAGTGTACATACATGCTAACCATGCACAAGTGTGAGAAGCTAGGGGACTCTCTTCTCCCAAGTTATGTGGAAAGATATCAAGGTGACTGTAAGGACAGATACTACTGGACTTCCAAAGTAGGTCTCCAGATCTCCAAAACCATACATGCATATTAACTGCTTCAAGAAAACACCAGGTTACTCTCTGGCCTCCTTTCTAAAAACCCACACCAGTCTTCACTGTTACTAATTAGCTGGGTTAAATGCTTTTGTGTTCTCACTGTAATTCTGCCTCACTGTAAAAGTTTTCTAGAAAATATAACTTCATTCTGAGAGATCCTAACTATGGAAAAGGAGAGGAGAATGATGTCTCTAAAGGAAGTGGAATTAGTTTCTTGTTTTGCAGAGTTACTTACCGAGATGTTAGGAAATGCTAACAGATCTTAAAGATTAATGGGCACTCTGTCCCACCAGCTAAATTTCCCCTTCTCTTGGATCTCTTCTATCTCCAGGCAAACTCCATAGGAGATGGGCTCAGTCAATGCACTGTTTTCAAACACATTCTCTTAAGAAAATGTGTATACACAAAGAAAAAAAGAATATGGTGGCCCTCTGCTCTCATAAGAGAACAGTGGTAAGTGGAAATTATTACTAGAGCTTGAGACACTTAGTAAAGAGGGAAACTCATACCTAAGGACAACTTGAGAATCAGCAACCCCTCAACTCATGCCAGGAGCCAAGGGGAGCACCTGAAAAATGCTACTATCTGTGGCTGCCTGCTACTGTGAGGAATTTCAGGAGCTTCTTTCTGCTCCATATTAACTGATGTGGACACATTTTAAAGTCCTAGAAGGAAAGCAGGTTAAATGTTTTCTCAGAAGACAAGTGACTGGAATTCATGAGCATATTGTTCACTTGCAGGAGTCAGTCTATGGCAGACCCTTACATTAGAAATTCATTTATGCCTCTCAAAACCCCTATGAAGTAGGTATTATCTCATTTTAGAGATTATCATATATATGAGTTAAAAGTTAATGAACATTATCAGATAACTCATCTGGCCAACAGCAAAACCGGTTGGACTCTGTAGACTGACTCTAGGGTCTGAGCCTGGGCTCACTCCCTCTCCTTCCCTTTCTTCCATCCTCTTTCTGCCTCCATTTCTTTGTCTACTGTGTACCTAATTTTTGCCACATATCACCCCAATCTTCCCCTTACACTCAAGATTGATTTGAAAGGAAATAGGTATACGGCCTCTTAGAGACACAAGTCCCATTCACAAATAGTTATAAAAGTTATACTATAACTTTTTATACTATGTCTTCAAATTTACATTTAAGAAACAAGCAAAAGCAGGCAGAAACCATGGGTTTTCACATAGTGAGATGCTGCATAAACGTGCGAGGTAGGTGAAGAGTGCTGGCCCCGCTGGCATATTTTTCCCTTAGCCCTACTCCTTGACATTCATCAGGCCTCCGCCAGGTTAATATATTTTGCCACCAGGAATGTCGCCCAGTGATTATTTTCATGACTACAGTAACTACTTGAAGATCTCATTCAGTTCATGGTCATTAGAGAAGAAAACCTAAGAATAATTTTTTCTGTGGCAATGCTTTGCCAGTCTTTCCTTAGAAACCAAATTTATGCTAAACACTGCAAGGCAAATCTTAGATGAATAATGTCTTTCCTCTTCATCTCTGGACAAAGGTCAATTTGCAGCTCAGCCTCAAGAAAGAACTGGAAATGTTAGGCCACTGGAGAACCACTTCCATCTGAAGTGGCCTCAGGATATAACATTTCTGAAAACTCCAGTTTTCAGAATTTCCTTCATTAAACATTAACCCCAATTTTCTCCAGGAAACATATATTCATGGTTCTACTATGTGCCAGTTGCAATGTTGGGCTTAGTTCCTTACCAACAAAGAACTCGCAGCTACAAGGGCTCCCAGGTAACCCTGGCAGGTGCTCAACAAATGTAGCTGGCTTTGCAGTCCACTTTGAAAAGATTTATCTGGGTCTCATTTAACATTAGATCTGAACTGATTAAATTATAGTTCTGTAACACTTTGCTGTTACCTGGAGTCAGACCATTCTGATCCTGATCTATAGAATTGAGCTAGGATGCAACAAGCTTCATTAATTACAAGGTCAGGCATTACATCCCTTCCCATGATTCTCAGTTTTCAGGTCAAAACCTTCTTTAGAAAATATATTACTTTTCATGAATTCTCCCTGAGAGTGGAAGGAGGGTAAATGACTCCAAACAGGAGGCATTTCTCATTATTATTACCATGAAGGGTACAAAGTAAATAGATGCAACACCAAAGAGGTGATTCTTACCAAAGGTAATACATTTAAAAACAAAGAGTTCAGTGAGAACTGGTTCTAACAGACTAAAATGTTACTTATACAAATCCCATTCAAAGGTTTCCAAAGTCAAAATCTATGGGATTACAAAATCTAAGAAAAATATATTATAGACATAAAATAAGGTCTGGGATTGACCAACACTTACATGCAAAAGTTTAAGTGTGATTGTTTGGGATTTGTGCTATCATATTTAGACCATTCCCACCTGACCAGAATATAGGAGCGCATGGTGACATGAAGGAGACTTAAACTGATCAAGTTGATAGGGACAAGCTTCATGAAACTGATGCCTATTCAGATGAAACAGACAATTTGCAAGATAAAACAGATGGGCAGTCAGTTTGGGAAACCAAATCCTGTATATAATATGAATATAGATTTTTAAGATAAAGGCATAGACACTCAGTTTTGAATTCCTCATCTTTTTTCCTATCAGAAAAGGTTTCAC